AGTATTTATGTTAAATTATAAAAAAATTTATTGTATGTTAAAAAAAACACTTAACATAAATATGAGAATAAAATCAATCCTTGTGCACTAAGGATATCATGAATGACACACTGACCAGCTGGTATAGAAGAGACCCCCTTTATCCGGCAGCTTAGCGTCACGGCTAGCAAGGGCTCCTCCTTGACGCGCGTTTCGTATGATGGCTATGAGGACTACCCAGTCTATAACACCCAGCCTGAACCATTCCAACAGACTCATTTTTTAGGGGAAGGAACCACACGAAAAAGAAGCATCCGCACAGAGGAAGCAGAGGAGGGAAGAGGGTCAATAGACCCCAAAAAGAGGAAACTATAACAGATAAGGGTATTTTCAATTTGAGTGGCACTACTTTATCCCAACAAGAGCTTAAGGTTCTTAATAAAGGTTTAAAATATGCTCCTAAGTCTAAGCTAAATAAGTTTCAGACGTACTTAGATATACACAAGTTTACTAGGAGATTGGCAATCAAACGATTTTTCCTTAACAAACCATTAGCGATTGATCAGAACAGTACCCAACCATCTACATCCCAATTAAGAAATGCTTCCCTCTTCAACCCTCCTCCTCAAACTCAGTCACATATTAATACCTTTAAGGAAATGGTACTTAAAGATATGGAATCCATTAAAATAAAGCGCCCATACAACCAAGTAGGCGTGGATATGGGATTAAAGTCTCTACTTGAAAATAAGGATTTAGTTATAAGGCCCGCTGACAAGGGCGGAGGGGTAGTTCTGCTAAATAAGGTAGACTACATAAAAGAAGTCCAAAGAATATTGGATGACAAAGAAACCTATCAACTATTACCCAAAGATCCACTTGTCACTTACAAGCGGTCTTTGAAACAACTGATAAGTAAAGGTTTTGAGAACAATATCATTAATTCAAAAGAAAAGAACTTCTTGTGCCCAAAGGCCCCAAGACTCCCGATTATATATTGTCTTCCTAAAGTGCACAAGGACCCAGTGCATCCACCGGATAGACCGATTATCAGTGGAATCGGATCCTTGTGTTCTAGGATTGGTCAATTTATAGATTACCATCTACAGCCCTTAGTGACAGCTACCCCCTCTTATCTGAAAGACACTAAGCAGGTTTTAAATGAAACTAAGAATCTTACATGGAATCCTAAACGTATGACCTTCTTGGTAACTGCTGACGTAGCCTCTTTGTACAGTAACATTAATCATGAAGATGGTAGATCAGCAGTTGAGTACTATCTTAATACCACTACTAATATCTCCAAGAAATTGAAGTCATATATCCTGGAATTATTGGATTTTGCCATGCATACCAATTATTTTAGGTTTAATAACAGATTCTACCTGCAAAAAAGAGGCGTAGCAATGGGAGCAAAGTTTGCTCCCAGCCTGGCCAATTTGTTTATGGCCAGGTGGGAGGAAGATACAATATACTCTCATGATTGGCCAGAACTTTTATTCTATAAGAGGTATATTGATGATATCTTCCTCCTCTGGCAGGGGGATGAACAGGCACTTATCAATTTCTTCGGGTCTTTAAATAATAACAATCTTAATATTCAACTTACCTTTAACTATAGCACTATTAAGATCGATTTTTTAGATGTAACACTGATTAACAATGGAGGCTCTATAACATCAGAAGCCTTCTTCAAGAACACAGACAGGAATAGTTACATCCCGATGGACAGCTGCCACCACCCCTCGTGGCTGGCCAATATTCCTAAAGGCCAGTTCATGAGGATAAGGAGAATATGTACAGACATTGACACTTATCATCAGAAGGCCGCTGTCCTAAAGAAAGGTTTATTGAGAAAGGGTATAATGCTACAGTATTAGATGATGAGATGGCCCGAGTGGCAAATATGAATAGAGATACGATGTTAACCACCTCTACCTCATGTAAGAATGGTAAATTTTGTCCCTTTATTACATCCTTTTCTATTCAATACAAACAAGTCAGTAAGATTATTAAGAAAAACTGGGACATTCTTAAGGCTGACCCAATCCTAGCTAGAGCATTACCTGATAGGCCTGAAATAGTCTTCAGAAAGGCCCCTACCTTACGAGATAAAATCTCACCAAATGTGGTAGACCCTCCCCCCAGAACTACGTTTTTTGGTAATATGACGGGCTTTTACCCATGCAACAAGTGCGTTATATGTAAGTTAGATGGTATACGCAAAAAGAAAATAGAATTTTTCACTTCCACTGTAACTCAGAAAACATATGACATCTCTACATTGATCACCTGCCATAGCCGCTATGCGGTATACCTCTTAGAGTGCCCATGTAAACGGCAATATATTGGTCGAACCACCAGAAGGCTCAGAGACAGGTTTAGAGAGCACGTTAATTGTATCAAAAAGGGCCGGAAAGAACATCCCCTGTCTAGACATTTCCGCTACCACCACAACCGGGACCCTACTTTTTTGAAATTTTCAGGGATCGATGTAGTTCATAGTCACTGGCGAGGTACAAATAAGCTCAGACAAGTCTCTCAAATGGAAACGAGGTGGATATATGAGATGAGAACTTTATCCCCTCTTGGCCATAATGTAGAGGTAGACATAAATTGCTATATAGATAACAGTTAACATCTATGTCTTTAATTGTTCATATGGCCTTCTGTATAGTTCTGATTATTCACATTTATATTGTGGATTATCAGGAGTATCACTACATTACATGAATATGGATTAAAACTACCTTAGTTACTATAACAATCCATTTATGTGTTGATTATGACTCATAAGGTTTTCTAATATGGCCCACTTAGAAATTAGAAATTTTATTCATATTTTTTTTCTGATATTGGTCATTGTAACTTTTATAGATTTGGGGTATTTTTGCTTCAATCTTATGTATTTTACTGTATTGAAGTGGGTTTAATGAGGACATATACTGCATGGTTATGTACATTCATTATAGCCCCCATGTTTTGGTTTATATGATCCCCAATGGCTAACATGCGTATAATTTTATACATGTTTGTATACAATAATATTGTTTATGCATAATGTTTTTAAGCATTGTATATAATTTTTAGTCTTATCACAGTGATTTTTGATCACCATAGAGTGTTCAAGAGTTAAATATATGTTATTAATGGGCACATAAGATACCACATGTGACACTTATTAATTAAGTATGATGTATCTAATCTATATATCAGAGCCTCCCCTAGGTGAATAGGACATTGTATAACTTTTAAGTATATCCTTAATTGTTCATTCACTGTCCCTGCATTTGTGCAGGTATAGCGAGTGTGTATTCATTCTGTGAGACCACGGGAATATGGCGGTTCCGTTCGCGCATGCGCACTGCTGTACCGACCCACGGTAAAATGGCGTCGGTCTGCCGTGCTCATTCGCGCATGCGCATTTACACAGCCAGCCCCCGGGAATATGGCGCCGATCCGCATCGATCGGCGCTTCTTCTATCTTCTCTTGGGGGTACCTGGGGAAGCCTGGGACTGCGACATGTGGGAGAGAGGGGTGAGCCCCTCCCCACCAGTTTATTCATTTGTGTGCAATATGTTCCACCGCAGTTGGGTATGCGGTGGATACACACATCATTTAGGCCACTATAAAATGGCGCCCGGACGCCCGCACATGCGCAGTATGCGGGACTTCGGCAAAATGGCACCCAATTAACTTTATTACAGGCACACAATACACTATATATATGGCTTTTGTGGCGTCCGGCAGCTATGGCTCTTATTCCTTCTGATGATGTACGTGGGATACGAAACGTGCGTCAAGGAGGAGCCCTTGCTAGCCGTGACGCTAAGCCGCCGGATCAAGGGGGTCCGGCGGCCACTCTTCTATACCAGCTGGTCAGTGTGTCATTCATGATATCCTTAGTGCACAAGGATTGATTTTATTCTCATATTTATGTTAAGTGTTTTTTTTAACATACAATAAATTTTTTTATAATTTAACATAAATACTACACTATGGGTATTCCTTTTTGCTCCACATCGAGCATTTAATTCCTCAGGACTACCAGGTGATTACCCCAAGGCCCAGAGATATATTCAGCTGATCCTGTTTTGGAACCTGTCTGCCAGAAGGAATCCCCAGATGGGTTACCTTTCATCATAGAACCACCTGTTCGGAGCTTCCCTTCATCCACAGTCGGAGTGATCTTTGGTGTATGAGACACAAACGCACAATTTAAATTGTGCTTCCGGTGAGTGCGCAATTTATTCATTTCTTCTGCATATCGCCGGACTACATGCATCATAAAGATCTCATCGAGATACACTCATCTGTGTTTCTTTGATGACTGGACTGTACTGTGCATTTATATTGTGCGTTTTGTATTGTGAAGTGAAATTGTGTGAAGCTCACGTCATTTCTTCCCCCCTGTTTCCAACTCTTGGGAGGATCACATATAGTGTGTTTGGTCACATATAATGCATGTGGTCCCACATCTGTTGACATTTAAGTAAGGGATATTGCACCATCTTCAATACTGGTACAGTCATATAACATCAAGCGCTGCACTATTTATCTTATAAGGAATCTACATAAGCCTTGCAGCCCTTCTCCCACTCAGGCAACCAGAACAGGCGCTGCACCAGGTCTAAAGTCTTGTGGACCCCAAAATGTTCTGCCAGGTGATGGTCATGACATAGTCCCAAAATTACTAATTGGATAATTTCTGGTGCAAAGATATTGTCTCCTGACTACAGTAAACCATCTCTAGTGGATAGAGTTACTCCTGGTGGAGAAAGAGCCCCTAAAGTTGCCTGCTGGATTTGTGAAAAAAGCTCTGTTTGTAAAAGTTTGCAGAAGTTGCCTGCTGAGAGCACCGTGTCAGGAATGGGAGGATCCTTAGGATTAGAGATGAGCGAATTATTCAAAAATTCGATTCGACTGATTCGGCGAATTCGTGAAAAAATTTTGATTCGAGTCGAATATATTCGCTGCGAATTTAACTTATAAAAGGGTGTTTCTAGGCTTCAGAGAGCCTTTATATTAGTGCAGAACACTGTACCTTTAATTTAAATGCCCTTGGAGTCTGCTGGGGAAGAGAAATAATACTGTCAGTCAGTATGACATGCAGATGAGTGCCGTCGATCTTAGAATCACCGCACACTTCACTCATTTGGGCAGTCACGGGGCCAAAACCAGAGTGTGGAGCCACAGTGTGGCGGTGGAGGCAGCAGCAATGGGAGGCCATACAGCACCCTATGACAAAATGGAACCCACCAGCAGTGTGAGGAGACCTGAAAGTGGCACATGGCAGAGTGTGGCGATGGAGACAGCAGCAATGGGAGGCGGTACAGGGACCCATGACACACTCTGGACCTGGCAGCAGCATGAGGAGGCGGTACAGGGGCCCATGACAGATTACGGGCCTGGCAGCAGCATGAGGAGTTGGTACGGGGGCCCATGGCAGATTACGGGCCTGGCAGCAGCAATGGGAGGCCGTACAGGGACCCATGACACACTCTGGACCTGGCAGCAGCATGAGGAGGCGGTACAGGGGCCCATGACAGATTACGGGCCTGGCAGCAGCATGAGGAGTCGGTACGGGGGCCCATGACACACTCTGGACCTCGCAGCAGCATGAGGAGGCGGTACAGGGGCGCATGACAGATTACGAGCCTGGCAGCAGCAACTTGGACAGGAGGACGTTCAGCTTCTGCACCGTCGGGTGCGTGCTCGCAAACTGTTGTCTCTTGGAAACGGATTCCAAGAAAGACTGCTGACGGAATCCATGAAGAGGAGTAGCAGGAGAAGGAGCATCTGACCGAGCGGAATATGCCAACAAGCGACAACAGGGGCCCATGACAGATTACGGGCCTGGCAGCAGCATGAGGAGTCGGTACGGGGGCCCATGGCAGATTACGGGCCTGGCAGCAGCAATGGGAGGCCATACAGCACCCTATGACAAAATGGAAACCCACCAGCAGTGTGAGGAGACCTGAAAGTGGCACATGGCAGAGTGTGGCGATGGAGACAGCAGCAATGGGAGGCGGTACAGGGACCCATGAGACACTGTGGACCTGGCAGCAGCATGAGGAGGCGGTACAGGGGCCCATGGCAGATTAAGGCCTGGCAGCAGCAATGAGAGGCCCGTAATCTGCCAGCACCCTATGACAAAATGGAACCCTGGGCTGGGGCAGGCAGAACCGCCGTATCTTTATCACGGTTTTCCCAGGCCACCGAATGGCGACGCTGCATATGCTGACGCAACGCTGTAGTCCCAACATGGGCCCCCTGGCCACGCTTGACTTTCTGGCCACATAGTCGACATACGGCTACGTTTACTTCCTCGGGCGGCTTGACGAAAAATTGCCACACCGCCGAGTAGGAAACTTTGCCCCCGCTACTCCTCACTGGCTGACTGCTACTTCCTCTGTGCACACCGGCACCACTACTGGCCGTGGTGGTAGGCTGCAGTGGAGCTGGTGCTCTACTCCGTGGCCGTTTGCCTCCACTGACACTGCTGCGACCCTGCTGCCTCCTGGCAGCAGCAATGGGGAGGAGGAGGCGGTACAGGGGCCCATGGCAGATTAGGGGCCTGGCAGCAGCAATGGGAGGCCCGTAATCTGCCAGCACCCTATGACAAAAAATGGAACACACCAGCAGTGTGTGAAGAGACCTGAAAGTGGCACATGGCAGAGTGTGGCGATGGAGACAGCAGCAATGGGAGGCCGTACAGGGACCCATGAGAGACTCTGGACCTGGCAGCAGCATGAGGAGGCGGTACGGGGGCCCATGGCAGATTACGGGCCTGGCAGCAGCAATGGGAGGCCCGTAATCTGCCAGCACTCTATGACAAAATGGAACACACCAGCAGTGTGAGGAGACCTGAAAGTGGCACATGGCATGACACACTGTGGACCTGGCAGCAGCATGAGGAGGCGGTACAGGGGCCCATGGCAGATTAGGGGCCTGGCAGCAGCTATGGGAGGCCCGTAATCTGCCAGCACCCTATGACAAAAAATGGAACACACCAGCAGTGTGTGAGGAGACCTGAAAGTGGCACATGGCAGAGTGTGGCGATGGAGACAGCAGCAATGGGAGGCCGTACAGGGACCCATGAGACACTGTGGACCTGGCAGCAGCATGAGGAGGCGGTACAGGGGCCCATGGCAGATTAGGGGCCTGGCAGCAGCTATGGGAGGCCCGTAATCTGCCAGCACCCTATGACAAAAAATGGAACACACCAGCAGTGTGTGAGGAGACCTAAAAGTGGCACATGGCAGAGTGTGGCGATGGAGACAGCAGCAATGGGAGGCCGTACAGGGACCCATGAGACACTCTGGACCTGGCAGCAGCATGAAGAGGCGGTACAGGGGCTCACGGCAGATTACGGGCCTGGCAGCAGCAATGGGAGGCCCGTAATCTGCCAGCACCCTATGACAAAAAATGGAACACACCAGCAGTGTGAGGAGACCTGAAAGTGGCACATGGCATGACACACTGTGGACCTGGCAGCAGCACTGCCTTTTTGGCGAAGAAATGACGGCTTGGCACTCTCCACCGCGGCGCGGCACAAGCCATCATTTCTCGGAAAGGTGCTGAGTCCACCACTTGGAAAGGGAGGGACTGCAGCACCAGCAACTTGGACAGGAGGACGTTCAGCTTTTGCACCGTCGGGTGCGTGCTCGCAAACTGTTGTCTCTTGGAAACGGATTCCAAGAAAGACTGCTGACGGAATCCGTGAAGAGGAGTAGCAGGAGAAGGAGCATCTGAACGAGCGGAAGATGCCAACGAGCGACAACTCCCCTCAGCAGAGGTGTTGGAGCCTTGACTGGCTGATAGAGGGCGATTGACGTCGGGTGACGGAGCAAGTAACGGAGCGGGTGATGGAGCGGGGGCTGGGGCAGGCAGAACCGCCGTATCTTTATCACGGTTTTCCCAGGCCACCAAATGGCGACGCTGCATATGCTGCCGCAACGCTGTAGTCCTAACATGGGCCCCCTGGCCACGCTTGACTTTCTGGCCACATAGTTGACATACGGCTACGTTTACTTCCTCGGGCGGCTTGACGAAAAATTGCCACACCGCCGAGTAGGAAACTTTGCCCCCGATACTCCTCACTGGCTGACTGCTACTTCCTCCGTGCACACCGGCACCACTACTGGCCGTGGTGGTAGGCTGCAGTGGAGCTGGTGCTCTACTCCGTGGCCGTTTGCCTCCACTGACACTGCTGCGACCCTGCTGCCTCCTGGGCAACCCACCGACTGTTTTGCTCGCTGCCAAGCTGCCACCCTCTTCTCCTGATGATGCGGAAGAAATAGCCTGATGACGACGAGGCTGCCAAGTGCGATCAGCCTCATCATCATCAATTAGGGTCTCCGCCTCACTACTAGCCCCCTCGGCTGCGTGTGGGTCAGGAGACAGACCTGTCTCCAGACCGGCTACCGAGCCACTCTCCTCGCCACTACTTCTTCGCCTGGCTGCTGAAGAGGCGGATGTCTCCCCCCGTTCCTGACCGCCCTCTGTTAGCTCTTCCTCACTGTACAGTGGGGCTGAGCCCACAGCATGCGATACTTCGCTTGGTGAGGGAACACCAAAGGACAGGGGCAGGTAGAGGACACGTGATTTCAGTGGGCTTGCTCCCGGGCCATGCCAACTAACGGTTGTGTCTGACGTACCCACCGACCGTTGGCTGTAGGTGTCAGAGGTGACCTGGGAAGAGGAAGACGACCGAGCCAACCAATCGATGACGGCAGGGTTGTCGGTGGAGACACGACCGCTGGATGACACCGGGAGCAATGGCCTCTGGCTGCGACTAGTGCTGCCCCGACCCCTTCCTCTGCTGCCTGCCACGTCTGCTCGCTCCTAAAACATTGCCTCCTCTGCCACTCCTCTGCATGTTGTCTGACATACTCTTTAATTCAACGATTATGTGTCCCTGAGTAACAATTCTGTGTCCCTGAGTAACAATTCTGTGTCTGTCCCTGAGTAACAATTCTGTGTCCCTGAGTAACAATTCTGTGTCCCTCAGTAACACTTCTGTGTCCCTCAGTAACAATTCTGTGTCCCTCAGTAACAATTCTGTGTCTGTCCCTGAGTAACAATTCTGTGTCTGTCCCTGAGTAACAATTCTGTGTCCCTCAGTAACAATTCTGTGTCCCTCAGTAACAATTCTGTGTCTGTCCCTGAGTAACAATTGTGTGTCCCTCAGTAACAATTGTGTGTCCCTCAGTAACAATTCTGTGTCCCTCAGTAACAATTCTGTGTCTGTCCCTGAGTAACAATTCTGTGTCCCTCAGTAACAATTCTGTGCCCCTCAGTAACAATTCTGTGCCCCTCAGTAACAATTCTGTGTCCCTCAGTAACAATTCTGTGTCTGTCCCTGAGTAACAATTCTGTGTCCCTCAGTAACAATTCTGTGTCCCTCAGTAACAATTCTGTGTCTGTCCCTGAGTAACAATTCTGTGTCCCTGAGTAACAATTCTGTGTCCCTCAGTAACAATTCTGTGTCTGTCCCTGAGTAACAATTCTGTGTCCCTGAGTAACAATTCTGTGTCCCTCAGTAACAATTCTGTGTCCCTGAGTAACAATTCTGTGTCCCTCAGTAACAAACAATTCTGTGTGTCCCTGAGTAACAATTCTGTGTCCCTGAGTAACAATTCTGTGTCCCTCAGTAACAATTCTGTGTCCCTGAGTAACAATTCTGTGTCCCTCAGTATCAATTCTGTGTCCCTCAGTAACAATTCTGTGTCTGTCCCTGAGTAACAATTCTGTGTCCCCCTAAGTAACAATTCTGTGTCCCTCAGTAACAATTCTGTGTCCCTCAGTAGCAATTCTGTGTCCCTGAGTAACAATTCTGTGTCCCTCAGTAACAATTCTGTGTCCCTCAGTAACAATTCTGTGTCCCTCAGTAACAATTCTGTGTCTGTCCCTGAGTAACAATTCTGTGTCCCTCAGTAACAATTCTGTGTCCCTCAGTAACAATTCTGTGTCTGTCCCTGAGTAACAATTCTGTGTCTGTCCCTGAGTAACAATTCTGTGTCCCTCAGTAACAATTCTGTGTCCTCAGTAACAATTCTGTGTCCCTCAGTAACAATTCTGTGTCTGTCCCTGAGTAACAATTCTGTGTCCCTGAGTAACAATTCTGTGTCCCTCAGTAACAATTCTGTGTCCCTCAGTAACAATTCTGTGTCTGTCCCTGAGTAACAATTCTGTGTCTGTCCCTGAGTAACAATTCTGTGTCCCTCAGTAACAATTCTGTGTCCCTCAGTAACAATTCTGTGTCCCTGAGTAACAATTCTGTGTCTGTCCCTGAGTAACAATTCTGTGTCCCTGAGTAACAATTCTGTGTCCCTCAGTAACAATTCTGTGTCCCTGAGTAACAATTCTGTGTCCCTCAGTAACAATTCTGTCTGTCCCTGAGTAACAATTCTGTGTCCCTGAGTAACAATTCTGTGTCCCTCAGTAACAATTCTGTGTCCCTCAGTAACAATTCTGTGTGTCTGTGTCCCTGAGTAACAATTCTGTGTCCCTGAGTAACAATTCTGTGTCCCTCAGTAACA